CAGTTTAGCGCGCTCGAGTTAACTCGAGCGTGCACGTTAAGGGTTAATCGGCATGCTCGGTATCGAGGCACCCTTATTTCCTTGTTCTCTAAAGAAGGAAAGAGGGAGACAAAGGAGCCTCCAGGTAGGTTGTTCGTACATGGACCGATCTTTCGTCCAGGGCTTAGTCACGCGTTAATCAGACAACGAATAACTGAGGCGTCAACTTTCGACTCGTTAGAAACTGTAAAAACCGTACTATGTATTTAGCCGGCGATGTTGGGTCGTGAGATCGCTGATATCCACGACGTTTGCTCCAAATTCTGTATCATCGGTGACTCTGACCCCCATCTTTCTCCCGTTCGTGATAATGTATCATTGATAATTATATAATGCCCGACTGCAGCGATGAAACGATACACATTATTTTCGAGGACACTCATTCGGGCTCGATGTTTCTGCGTAAATGACGTGTCCTCCCGTGAACGTAATTATGAACGTCATAGACCGATTCGGGAGAGTTAATATATATTTTATATTTTATAAAGAGTATATTAATTTTATAAAATATATTATATTTTATAAAGAGTATATTAATTTTATAAAATATAATATATTTTACCGCTCGCGTTAATCTTGATCTCTTAATACGCGTTCACGGCACAAAATAATTATCCTGCAACGATGCTGTAAGTTTTTTCATTTGAAGCCCATTAACACCTTTCCCGCGAATGTAAAGCGTCCATAAACTGAGAGATGAAATGAAAGAGGAACGCACATTTTGCGAACAGCCGCGTAGAGTAAGTCTCTGCGGATCGGACGCGCCGCGGATCTCTTTAATTTCTTATTTCGATACTAATTCATCGAAACGCTTGTAAAATGTTCTTGTTCTGTTCTTGTACTCACGCGTGAATCCAAATCCTGTTAATCTCGTATACGGCCGATCACGACTTTTGCGTCTCTCTCTTTCTCTCTCTTTCTTTCTTCGTTTCTCAGGTGTGACAAGATCAAATAGAACAACGATAATTACAGATAGGTGCGTACATTCGCGGATGCCAGCAGAGATCGTTCACGTTGTCCACGCTCGGCGAACACTTGTCGGCATTTGATCGCGTGAACCGGTGAGGCTGTTGTTTTTATATCGAAGAGGAAGATTCATGGCACGGGTGTCACGGTCGGATCGATCGATCTTCGTGCCCAGATACACGAATCTTTTTTTTGTTGACGCCATTATCCCTGACGATAGTGGCGCAACTACCACCGAGAGAGTTGCAATCACGATTGCCTGGCTAAACTCTTATCTTCCAGAATAGTGACACTAATTTATCTGGAACAAGGCAAATTAATTTAATGTTCTCATCGTTTGAAATAAACGGTACAACCATCGAGTTCCTCTGGATTCTCTAATATTGATCTTCCAGATTGGTTCTGCAAAAGCATCAATTCATGATGAGAAGGAAAATGAAATGGAAAAGTTTAGGAAGATATCTATCTATCTGCAGTGATTAAAAAGACGGAAACTTTCTTGGTATATTATTTCAATTAAAATCATTTTGTTGGAGGTCCGAATAAAATTTTTCTCGTCACCTTCGTAATTACCACATTTCACAAACAGGTAGGTTCAATCGAAGATCGTCCGTTTTATAATTAACTATTACGTAATCAATTGAATGGAAATCCCGCGATGCGAGATCGCATCAGATCCTGTAAGCTCGTACGTAGGATTAATAATTAATGCCATTTGTTGTTCGGTATTATTGGAACAATGTCTATCGTCGGGTAGCGATGGGGCCGAGTTCAATGCGTGCGCGTAAACTTCGATTGAATCGACGTCACAAATACTTTAATGAATCTCTGGATTGCCATTTTTTTAAAATCAATTTCGTGTTTATCGGTCAGGAACCACGAGAGAAGGTTCATCGATCTCGGCTACATATCGAATATTGCTTCACTCTTAATTATACTAAGTTTCTAATTTACCTATAATCAGCATGAGACCAGCATTTCCTGTGCGATCAATTCGTTGTCGATTGTACGTACCTGCGGGTATTGGTAATTGTAATTGCACAAGCTGGATCTATCAGTAGCAGACTATTGTCGTAACCTTTTCCAATAAAAATTGCTATTAAACCATTATTATCATTGATTAAAAAATAATACTATTTATTATTTCTATGGCTCCACAATGGTGGACGCTGAGTGCTGCATACTCAAGGAAATGTGAAAAAATGTATTCTTTTAATGTATCCATATTTGTGGACGAAAAATTGTACAGTTTCCACTTTACTTTGGTAACGAAAATGGTAAATGCACGACTACTGCTTCAAATCGGAAGATTCGTTATAATATTAGAACTTTAGAGTAAATGATTGAAGTACAAACCTAACGCTCAATATATTTTTACATTATTTGTATAACATTAACGAATGTTTGATGTAATCGCAAATGATTCTTACCGGTTCGTCTTTAGCACGCTGTGTAAATAGTGACAAGAATCATCTGAGCATCCTGAAACCTAAATTTAGCGCCATTGCTCGTAGTGGCAAAACGCTCAAATTGCTAGACAAATTATTTTATCGACAATTAAAATCCTTATAACTTTTTGGTAAAAGTTCGAACAGTTTTATACAGATGGTACCGCTCTCGTTTTCGAGGCCATATTCGCGCTCTGTGACACGCTTATTATTTACAACTATAATGCTTCAATCTGGCTCCTTTGAATGGTTACATACCTATGAATGAGTGAATGTTTAAATATTCAAAAGATAAGTAACATTGTTATATCACAGACGCGGTCTGTGGTTATATTACATAATTTTTCTGAGTGTAATTTGAATTAAAATTATGATCTCGAATTTTTAAATCTTTTACGTTCGAGTATATAGATGGCATCTTCGATGATAGTTAGCCATCTGTCAGCGACTTTGCAAGGCTTCACCCCAAACAGGTTAATCTTCCCTTACTATAGATAGAATCAGAATAACTGGAAATAACCTCATATCCCATGCAAAGGGTTACGATGTTTTCGGTTTCGCGGGGTTACAACTATTTATAAAACCAGCTATTCGAACGTGTGCCATTTAAAATGGTTGAACACGCATTACCGGCGTTATTTCCGAGATAATTGCTTGTTGTCTCTCAGCATTAGTCGGCGATTTATCGAGGAATTACGATTCCCGTGATGGGACTTATGGTTTCGTGAGACCGGTGGATTCACTTTATTTTTTTTTTCAAATCCTGCAACAAATTCAATCATGGTAATCTCTTTGAACACAAGTGTCTAGGATAAATAACAACTTCAAACAGATATTCGATGTTCTTTAGTAAAAGTGATTTACAATGTTACAGGCTTTCCTCGGAGCTCAATTGGTCATCACTCTTATTATGGTCAGTGTCATCCAAAAATTGACTCCACATTTCTCCTTGGCGAGGTGGATCTTATGTTCTACAGGGTACATTGACATGATTGGTAACAACATTGATCAACCAGAATTTAAAGTTAATAGAAGATTTATTAATTGCTTAATAGGTTGACACGTTACTTGTATCCAACTGACCAACAGTTAAGGAGCCTTGTGGGTGTACCCAAAGAGAAACCCAAGAAAGGCAAGCACATGGAAAATGGAAAGGTTGCCGATGTGTTTCAAGTTCCTAGAAATCTGGATATTACACTGGAGAATGTTAAGATAAATACTTTAGATGTAGTGCATTTAAAATATTATACAGAGTATCAGTGGTTATTGGATTTTTCTGTTTATGCTGCAGCAGTCTATGCTCTAACAGAGGTTGGTAATGGTTTCTTTGAATGTACAGAGTATGAAAGAAATGTAAAATGAAAAGTTTAGGCTCCTTTCTTTGTGTTTTCATAATGCTTTGTATCAAACAGGTGTATAATTATTTCTATCCAATCAAAGATGAGATAAATCTAAGTATGCTTTGGTGTTCATTGGTTTTGGGTTTTGCATTGTATCCTTTTCTCTGCTGATTCATGTCAGGGTATACTTTCTCTAAAGAATGATTCTTTTATATTGAGATTGACTTCCTTAATTATTTACTTAGCAAAGTATTGCTCTCCTTGTGGATAGAATATTTCAAAGGAGAGGAGAGTATAGGTGAAAGGTCCACATGTATTGTGACCGGATTTGCTTATCTTCTCATAGCTATGATGATTCTTATCGTTGATGAGAACAATCTTGAAATTGGATTGGACAAAGCTTATGCAAGCTTTAATCACAGCGCATCTTTGTTTTTAGATAATCAAGGTCTTTCATCTACGTAAGTCTGTAGAATCTTAACTAGGAGCTTTCAGTTTGTCTTTTTACATTATTTCATCTCTATGTATCCATACTCTGATAATTTCCTTTATAGTGGACCTGCATCAAAAATTGTTATAAAATTCTTTCTTGCCTTGTGGTGTGGTTTGCTCGGTTCCTTATTTACTTTTCCTGGATTGAGAGTGTCAAAAATGCATTGGGATACATTAAGGTACTGAGACTATGGTAATGTCAAAAATGTTCTCACTGGAACGAATGTTTAACAAACTACTATGTTTTAGATATTGCGAAGACAGAAAGCTATTGTTATTGATATCAAACATTAGTTATGCCTCTCCACTTCTATTGATAAGCTTATGGATTAAGCCTATAAGTAGGGATTACCTTACAGTTAGAATATTTTCTGGTATGAATGGTCCACTGTAAGTTTTAATTCGCTAAAGACTTTAGTAATATGTTAATTGTATTCTTAAAAATAAATTTTTACAGAATGACACCCGCGGCTTTCGAGAGTATGAGGCTGATTGCAATAGTCGTTGCGATTTTATTAAAGTTAATATTGATGCCGACGTATCTGCAATCATATCTAAATTTAGCTGTGCAACGATTAGAGAATCAAAAGAAGGAAGCTGGTAGGATAAAGAACGTTGATTTACAGAAAAAGGTACTTATGAAAAAAACACTTAGGACGTAATCGTAGTTATCAATTATATTAATAGTCTTATTTCTAATTTGTTTCAGATTGCAGCCGTATTTTATTATTTATGTGTTGTCGCGTTGCAAATCATTGTTCCATTAATTATATGTCTATTTTTAACGTTCATGTACAAATCATTAGGTAAAATCAATTTCAAAGTATTGTTTATCAATTTTATATTTTCATATATTAATGTGTTTGTATATCTTCGTTAGGTGGTTATACGTGGGAGGGTATCTTCAAAGATGAAGCTTTGGAAGAGTGTCCAGTGGATGAATCACCAATATCGGTACTGAAAGGAACCAATGATGATCTTGATAAAACTGTTGCGCAAACCGCGCAAGATTTTCAACTTGCATTAGGATCTTTGAAGCAGGTATAACTATAGTTTCATGGACAAAACCGCAAAGAGTTCACGAATACACAATATGTTATTTTATAGATATTTACAACAGACGTGTACAGAGGTCTCTTTGGTCTAGCAACATGGTGGAGTTGCTTCACATTATTTGCGTCTACTGCCATGGGCATGTTTTATCAATCATATTTCTCCAGTATGTGAACAGTCACCGTGAAAGATAACGCATTTCACGTCATTTCGCACAAATTTATGTCAATCTCTGCAATTGGTCTATCGATTCTACTGCTACTGGAATATTCAACGAATATTTTTCGAAAAAGTACCTATTTCAAGGTACGCACAATATCGACTGTCCAAAAAAAACATTTGTACTAACTTTTAAAATTTGTAATACATATAGTAATAAAAGAGCTGAAACTCAACTACGTCAAAACAAATGTTTAAATTTTCCATATAATGTGTGGCGATTATACAAAACCGATGGAAAAGTACATGAGGTGGTAGCACACAGAATAGCAGAGAGAAATTTACGGATATTTTACGGTCGAATCTAAGTATGGCTTCTGAACGTGTGCGAGACATAAATAAATTGTATCACTGCCAGTAAATAAGCTATTTAACATTCTGTGAACGACTATTTGATTACCATTAATAACCTGTCGGCGTATCAATACCGTTTTGGATTTGCTGAAAGCAAACTTTCTTCGGCTACGTCATGATCATAGATGAATCACATAGAGGTATAACATTGCCTTTTATATTGTAGCAATTCGATTCTTGTATATAATTCTGTAAAAAATATTCACATTATTACGTATTGCAATGTACTCGTATTTTCAAAAAGATACGGTCATGATATGGCGATGAAGAACAGTTTATATCCTAGTTTGTAAATAACCGTACAATTATGTACATTATGTCGCATTACAAAAATCTTCTGTAAAAACGAAAACTTGATATCAAGCGATTACGATTCATGAACTGTCCCATCTTGGCATCTTGGAGAAAGTGTGATTGTACCTCTGAAAACGTGTTGATGTGATGCTACTCACGTATCAACCTGGTCGCTTCCGCAATATATAACTCCCCACGGGGTTACTTGGCGTCAGAATAGTTGATGTTCCATTGTTAATACGATCGTTCGTTCCTGTGAGACAGTGCTAAAGTTCTTTTAAGTTTCTAAAATGTTGGTGAGTACTGAGAGCAAGTTTCTCAACTTCAATGAAGAGTAATTCTTTCTACTAGAACTTGTTGCAACCCATTTATCTCTGTTCTAGTTGCTAAAAGATCTATTTCTTTCAGAAATACATAGTACTTGGTTGCATAGTGCTTTCCAGTGCATTTGCTGAGCCACCTATTAATGGTGTGAAACCCACAAATGTATTAGGCACTTCTGACCAACATGCATCCTTTAGTTTCATTAGGCCAGGCTTGACACAAACTGCCTTTGCATTTAGTGGACCCAGCTCTCATCAATCGTTTAGTTCCAGTATTGGAAATCCTTACTTATCACAGAAAGTGTTCCCTAATGTTGCCAATGCTCTTGCTTATAGAAATCCTGGCTTAGGTCTGTAACTATTTAACAAAATAATAGTATTTATCTTGTTCTAAAAAAGGAATCAGAGTAATTATGTGTTATGTTACAGGAGTGTTTCCAGTTGGTCCAATTACAAATGGCTATGCAGCTGCACCAGCTGCACCCACATATGTATCTCCTGTAGCTGCACCTTATCCCTATCAAACTGCTGCAGATCCTGCAGCATTGGCTTATTATCAACAATTGCAACAAATTCAGCAACCTCAGGTACAAGGATATAATGCAGCTGCTTTGTATCAGGCACAATTGGCCCAACTTCTTGCTTTAAGACAAGCTCAAGCACAATCGCATGCACAAGTTGCTCAAACTCAACAGGTAAAACTTTCAGTTATATGACAACTAATTATAATAATTTGTAGAAAATTCAAATGTGATTTTTGTTTAATAGTAATCATCCACAGGTTCCCGAACAAGTCGAATTACAGCAAGAGGAACAGCAACAGCCCCAGCAACAGGAACACCAGCCTCAGAGTTTGTTAGGCGTCGCTTATTCTTCTGCACCTTCTGTAGCACGTGTGAAAGTCTCTGGAAATGGTTACAAATTTGACTTTTAGATGATAAGAATGTATATAATAATTTTATTTATTTGCATTAATTTAATGTGCGCTGAAACAATTTGTATACTACTAATTAATAGCCTAAAGATACTGAAATAAACACTGTGAATCCTTTATTACAGTTACTTGATTTATCATTTATCAAACTGTTAATAAAATATCAATTTAATATACAATGATAAATATAATAAAGTAATAACGTTCTACGTCAGAGAATTTTGTTACTAAAAGTAAATAAAAAAGATCCACTTAGGCCCCGGGGGGATTCGAACCCCCGATCTCCTGTTTACTAGACAGGCGCTTTAACCAACTAAGCCACGGCGCCGCTGAGCACCAATTTCGATTAAGGCGTAGAACAGTTTTGAGCAGTAAATGAATTTAACAATTAATTATTGGTAACAATATTGTTGAACGTCTTTATAACTTATACAAATGAAATTAATAAAAAATTAATTACTTCCTGGCGACAATAGAAAACTCTACCTTCAGAAACGTATTGAACAGATGGAATAAAAATTTACTTCACTATTAAGCCCAGAATAGTCATTCATTTTCATCGGTCTTATCTATCTTTGAAATGTAAAATAGTACCTACTCTTCGAAGAAAAAAAATGATTTATGTTATATATATTCGCAGTCGGTAGGACTCGAACCTACGCTCCCACTGGGAATCTGATTTCTAGTCAGACGCCTTAACCACTCGGCCACGACTGCTCCGAGAAATTGCCTTAAATTTGAAAAATTCAGAGCAACTAGAAATTATTATAAATAATCAAGCAATAATAAAATATTAGAATATATAAAGAATTATTTAGCATCGACAAACCAAGAACTACTTAAAGTGCATTATTGCAGTGAGTGATTATCCTCGTTTCTCATTGATGACTTGCAGATGTTAGAGTTTTTATGAAAGATAATAATTTAAATTAAAAGCAAAAGTATATGTATTACAAATATTTGATGGGAAAAAAGAAATTGACCCCGACGTGATTTGAACACGCAACCTTCTGATCTGGAGTCAGACGCGCTACCGTTGCGCCACGGAGTCTTCGTTACATCGATCTTCTGAAAACGGAATACTTTCTTGTTCTGTCGGTCTTGAATCAATAACTCATCAAGAAAAGCTCATTTCGTATAAAAAAATATCTGAAATAAAGGAAGTGTTGATCATATTTCAGTTATGGAAAGTGTAGTACATTAAGTCATTAATCTATCATATTACATTATATTTCCGCAACCTTAGGGCCGAAACTCGCTGTTGTGCTCGGTCCGTGCAAGTATAACCATGTTCACATTGGCGGGCAAGCATCGCGCCAGGCAGATCAAGTGCTGAATAAAACTCGGAACCGAAGTGCCTTGAAAAGATCAAGATCAGCCTCAGATCGAGCTTCGGCGTTCGCTTTTGTACTTTGCCGAACGTAGGAAAGGATAGCAAATGAAAAATAAATAATAACGCAATATAAAACTTTTTTATATATTTTTAATGAGACTTCTATCTATGTAATTGTAAGGTTTTTCTGTTTAAAATAAGACCATATACGATATAATTTCGTAAGATTATATTGATATTTATGAAAAATATAAATATACTTTCCATATTAATGTTAACTCCTTGCAGTCGAATGTCGCCGTACAAGCGATATCACATTTCTATTCACTAGATCGAATGTCGCCGCAAAGACAACAAAAAATAAAAACATAATATCGCTTTATACAAAATAAGACATTCGACGCAGCGGGTAGTTCACTTGAAAAAGTCCTCGACTGCAAAGGGTTAACTTAACCATTTTAGGAAACCAGTAAAACGTTATCCTAGACAAAATTTGTATTTTTGTAATTTATAAATTCTTGATAAGTATATTGACAATAATAGCGACAGCTTATTTTTTAGGCACATAGCCTGACGGTCAATTTATGGTGAGGTCATAGGTTCGCGTAGATAAACCCCAGATTGTGTCGGGCACCTGGGTACTTGATAAGACGCATTTGTTGATACATGTTTGAAAAGTTAGGAATCTTTAAGTATGGCTTTGGCCATAGAGTCGAAAAGGCCGAGATGACTGTGATTGACCGTCCATCACATCGAGGTACGTTCCTTACATTTGCTAAGAAATGTGCAGTAAGTGTCCACATGGCACATATCCTTCTTTAGAAGGATACGTTCAATCCTAACAGAACACAAAAACCTATATTATTTACCTATAATTTCCTAATTACAATTGTAGTCCTGTCATTTGTGACAGGCTAGGCCTCGTGGCATAAACAGTAGTCATATGTTCTCTGGAAAGGTAGTAGAATGTCTACATGATAAGACAGGGTAAATGTAACATCATCAATCATCAGTATTGTTGCAGTGTGTCTACAAACAGGAACGCGATGCGTGCTCACATCCCGCATGCAAGCACCGATTTATCCGAGGAACATGTTGCTAGAGAAGGCCGGTCTTCTCCCTACGTTGAAAAGAGTTTCGCGCGGGTTGTCTCACAAAGCCCCTCCTAGCACCAGGATAACACGTTAGTGGAGTTGGTATGCTTCGATGGTTGTGCTGTTCCGTCATACCTTGACTTTCGCCCGTGAGGAATTTTTTCAACAGGAACGCATGCGACCGATAGATGCGCTAGTGTGCACGCACACCACCTTGGCTGCGTGCGTGTGCACGTAGGCCACGTGACGTGCTGACATAATACACAAGCTTGAAGGTAGAGGATCCCCCACTTCTGAACCGCGCGTTAATTTTAGGGGAAAGCGTAATAAGGTTTGATCCATCCACGAATGTAGCGACACGGGGACCGTCATTGTGTTGCACTACGGACGCGGAGACACGATAACGATACGATAAACAATTTACGAGACATCTCACCTACATATACGTACTGGAGACACGTTATTAATTCCGATTTTGGGGAAAAACGGTGTCACTGTCCCGTAATGATGCTTCGATCCGAGCGGACGAGGTTAGAAGCATCGTAACAATGGATTATCGAGGGCGGAGGTGAAGCGGGAAGATGTCTGCCGCCATCGGGGACGGGCTAAACACGTAGCCCTGCCGAAATTTCAGCCCATGCCGGAGTCAATGAACCGATAAGCAATGGAAAGAGGTCGTTCGGGGCCAATAAAGTATTGTACGTCACAGAGGTGCTTAAGGCCCGCGCGGCTCTTCCTCAAAATTGTGTCTTTCCGATCCGCGGCCACCACGTCCATCGAAGAGGTAATATCGATGGCGGCGAATATCAGTCGACGTTCATGCGTTCCTACTACCGAGTCGGTTAAATTGTTGATTATGTCCATTCTACTCGTTAACTACAGATTACTGGAGGCTGCGCGTAAATTAGCATACTCCTCGTTCGTCGTACGAAAGGCGAAAGATAAACGATGATGACGAACGGCGCACCAAGGTCCACGGCGATCCTGGATACGCATGGACAACGTCTATGTTACGTATGTGTGTAGCGGTAAATTCGATGATTATAATTCAATGAATAATTCTATCGCACACCGAGCCACGTTAAATTAATACAGCTCGATGTATTTTAAACAGTACTCGGGATTTTTACGTTACAAAATTGCGTTCAAATCGTACCTGATATCGATCACGTATATATGTATGTATTTCGATTCCTGGGAAAAAGATGGTGGATGTCATCGACATCATGATGTGATATTTTTGATAAAAAAAATTCCGTGGAAAACTCCGTGGAATCTTGACAATATAATGATACGTGTATCTCAGAATTTTCCGTATCTTAGTCGAAGCATGATTTAATAATATATGTAACGTGTACGCGGAGATGTTTGAAGTTTGAAGGTTTAATGATTAGCAATCAGAATCATTTAGGCTCAATCAGTTGGTGCATTGTAGCAGGGAAGCATAACGATGTTGAAAGTTCGGTTCAGTTCAGATAGATAAGTCCAATCGAAATGTATGTAGTCGTACGGATACGTAATCTTGTTTCGCGATGCTAATACGCAACAGTGATTATCTTGTAAAACTTATATTGTGTTACCTATTCTTATAAATTGCACGCATTGCAAGATATGCGGTAATCATTCTGTTGTGAACTTATGGAATCAACTCCGTCGGTAATATAACTAAAATTTTAAAACAAATTGTGCTACCATCTACGGCAAAATCGTCAAATTTCAAGCCGATTAGTTCCGGTTCTTGTTGCTAGATGGAGCAGCAAGTGCCATCATATTTAACCACGAATCATATAAATCTCTCAATTCAAGAACCTTTCCATTCTACTATACATTCAGTACCCCGCAACTGCTTTGGAAAGAGGACGAGACATGACTGAGTGAGACAAATCAGCGGGCTCCAAATTTCGATGATTGTGCTTGAACATGGCGACCAACGACCTAACTTCACCCTCGCTGCGCACTTCTTATTACAGGGTCTCTACTATGATGCTGATGTATTCTTACCGTTTATTGTCTTAATAATAGAATTAATAAATGTATTTAATAAATGACAAGTATAATTTAAACTTTGAATAAAAACGTAGTAAAGTACTAAAATTATTAAACAAATAGTGCTGCCACTTGCGGCAAAACTACCAAGCTACTGACACGGATTTAGGGATTATATTTCCTAAGTTCGTAATTAAATATAATTCATAGTTCACACCCTCAGTCACATAATATTCTAAACTAAAGGTGGACTAGCAACTTCACAATTTATTTTTTTATTGAACTATTTTTCTACATATAACTACATGTATAGTAATAAGTAAGAATAACCATAGAAATTTGTAACAAACTACACTAAATAATACAGAAAACAATTTTACTAACATATCAACAACGACATATTTGTACTGGGACACATGGGCTAAATTAATTATCAGAGCCTAGGGTCTTTTCTCTGCACTTTCTTTCTCCAATGATACATATACATATAGGGAAAGAAGCCGCCATTTTAGTCGACCTCCATGTCGAACGTGTTAGCCTAATCCAAGGAGGGGCTAAATGAGACAACCCGCGCGAATGTCGCTCAACGGTACGAGAGAGGAGAAAGGTCATTCATATTATCCTAGTATTTCGCGTCTTGTGTGCGGGATGTGAGCACGCTCCGCACTTCAGTCTCCTTCGCACTGAATTTCAGTACAAAGGAACCGCGTTCATTATATTTCCCGCCATCTTTCTTTCGCATTCATGCACACGCGACGTCGAACGGTACCGTCATATCCACTTGTACTTTTTGCCCGATGCATTTAAGCAGTTGAAATTGTATAACAACGAAATATTTCATAATTTCGGAGTGACCAATCAATCGTTTTGGTGCTGAAAAATTATTGCAACACAAAGGAAACCTGTTGAAAAGATTATGCCCAGGTAAATAATACTTAAAATGTTGTAGTTGCAAAATGAAAGATAGACATGACCCCGACGTGATTTGAACACGCAACCTTCTGATCTGGAGTCAGACGCGCTACCGTTGCGCCACGGAGTCCGCTTGAACGACGTTTCCTGACCGCTAATTTTCTGTGTCCAGACATGTAAGCCTGACAACGGAACTCCGTTGAAAGAATTATTGAGAAACAAACTGAATAATCAACCATGTCAATAGACGATTCGTTATTTTTAAAAGATATAGGAACCGCAATTGCAATGTTTAAATTTCATTGTATAATGTCTTCTGTATAAAGAAACATATCTATATTTCACGTCCACGTATCTACGTATTTAAAAAGTTGCATGTGTACCAACAGGGTGTGGCTCGTGGTAACATCTTCAGAATGAAACACGGATCAGGCTAGCAGATCATCGAGAAGCATAAGTACTTTCATGGCGCTTTTTCGGGACGGCTGGAGTTTATTATTATACGTGTATATCATCGCCGCTTCCCCTGTCTGATCGGATGGCTGTTCAATAATCGACCCTGTTTACCAGAATGGTCAAGAATGGCTAGCCCCCGGTGATAACAATGGCAACAGGATTCTATCCGCTTGCAAGAGCATGTTATTCAAACCCACAGTTTGGTAACTACGAGAATGCCGATGTTTCTCAAATCTCTTCCTTTTTCATATTACTAAAGATAATCGTCGTCACAGTATCGCACGTCCTATTTAAAATTTATGAAATTCTAACTTTGTTCATAGATAATGTTCCTATACAAAAACGAAGTTATCGACTGTGTTACAGTCTTAGCGTAATGTTCGCGAGAGCATCGGAAGATGTCTCTGGTTCGAGGCACAACATGGTGAAGCTCCTGCAGCAACGTGCGCACCTAATAGGTGTGAACCACGGCGCCGCGTGCCGACGCAACCCATTGGACCTTCAAAGGAGTCGGTACCACTGCCTTCTTCCGCTAATTACACGCCGCGGACCGCGAAGGCTGCGAGGAATATAATCCGGGGACGCATCGGCGTCTACCTCTGCTATTGCGAATGGAAGCAAAAATTAATGGCAGCGGTGGGATTCGAACCCACGCCTCCGAAGAGACTGGTGCCTTAAACCAGCGCCTTAGACCGCTCGGCCACGCTACCCGTTGTAGTCTCACCGCTCCCAAGGTCGTTATATGTACACCCAACATATATGCTAAATCTGCTAAATAGATAACAGGAAGCGACACGACGTTGCAAGTTGCAACTCTTTTGGAACGGATTCTAGAGATGCAACCGCAAGCATGTGATAAGATTTCTTCAGAGAAAAATCTACTGTTTTAACATTTACTTTTATTTATTTTAGATCATTGACGTATATGTGAGAGTAAAGAGCCATTGTTCATCCCCGCAATGAGAATTAGGGTTTGAAAAAAATTGGCCATACTTGCCAGCTATTCCCTTCACTACCGAATAATTGTAGAAAATGGCCCATGCTTTCTAATACATAGGGAATCGTGTCCAAGGTGCTGTTGATTTGACATTTGCGTTTATTTATTTTAGATAATTAAGATACAAGATAGTGCCTGCCACTTTCGGTCCTTCACTCTCGAGTCTCATAAAAGTCAGCGGCCAGAGTCCTTGGGCCCAGGGTTCAATTGCAGTCGAAATTATATTTCCAGTCGGTGGAAACACGGCGTTCGCGTGATTTCTTTGAGAATCCCCTCCAAAAAGATACGGCGGAGGTGGTCGCGTGTGTGAACGAGGGTAGTGGTGAGTAAGTGGTCCATATATAGAAACGCCCCCACGCTGACTAACACCAACGGGTACCTGTCACGCATATATACGCAGCACGAGGCTCGGAAGCTCACAATTTTTGTGCTTGAGTTTGAGTGCGTTAAGCTCTATCGGCTTCTCTCACGCGTTCTGCTAATTGTCAACGAAGTTAGCCGTATTCGACATGCCTGGACGTCCGCTTTGGCAGGTAAGTCGGTTCACTTCTGTATAGAATATCCTTGGTGCGTAATGAGTGGAACCGATTCAACGTTCAACAAAGTTGAGTTGACGTCGAATTCTACAAAGCTTCATGTTCGTTCGTATAAGATTTATATTGTTCTGCGTTCTCTCAGTATCTATTTATATTGAATTTTTATGTTCAACATCATGTAGTGGAAATCTTAGATTCATACAAAACTTGTAGTGCTCTGCGATCTATCTGTATTTATTCTTATTGAATTCTTATGTTCTCTAACATCATGCAGTGGAAATAATTACTTTAATGCAATGGCAGTCGGGTCAAAATTCATTTGCATTATTGGATAAAGCAATTTTCATTAGGATTTGTAGTCTGAGGATTGTAGTCTGTAGGATTTGAAGTTTCGTTCAGAGAATAATTTTCATGATAAAATAAAATGTTCCGGTTGCGGTTATATTGAATAAACCACTTTGATTCCGTTCTGGACATTTTTGATGTCCAGAGACTTCATCTGAAAACAATTTCAAGTGTACGATATTGCTAGGACCACCAGAATTTGTCTTAACATTGAGAAAAATGAATCTAGCAAGACACTCAATTTGCTTTTTCGCTTCGTGTCCCGCGTTACGTTGCGCCAGTCGTTCTCAGGGTGTACTCGTCAGAATTTTGAATATTCGTGAAGCGTCCAGAATTACACGATGGAAGAGAAAATCACGTCTCCTTGACATGCAGGAAAGCTATCTATTTCAAACTTCTGATTCACCGCGCGTATCGCCGCGATACTTTCGCGAGTTTTCATTAAAATGCTTCTAATTCTGGAGAGCTTATACACACCATGAGTCACTCGATGCATTCGCTAAACTAAATTTGATTTACACGTGGGACCGAGGGCGGTTTGCGAAGGTCAAATAAACTTTTGATGGGCCATTAGCGCGGCACACTGCATCCTTGAAATCAATACTTCCGTTACAGAAATTATTCCTGCCGATCGGGATTGCGATAGAAAGCTAATTGATACTTCAATTCACTACATCATAGTGTTCATACCTTTCAAAAGTCACGAACATTCTAAACGAATGCTGTTGCCGAAACAGTCGGTTCATTCTTTACTCCTGAATAATGATTTTTCCTGTTACGATGACACAATGCTAGTCCAGTTCCGAGCTGGTCATCCGAAGATATCCGGACGGTTTCCATTACATTCCGAGCTAAGTAAAAGTTTGAAAATCAAAATGTTGGGGCGTTGCGTGATCGGCGTGCGCGTTCCAGCTAAGAAAATCTTATAAGCTGAAAAATTTGTGTCGCGATGACGGCAACGGGTCTCGCGGCAACGTTTATTTACAAACAAGCCGTCGGTATTTTCGGGTCTGATGCGCCGAAATTAGACCGGCCGAGTTGAGGGTGCTACCAGAAGCCTCTGGGATCCAAAACGGAAACGCAAACGAGCTGGAACGGTTCTAGAACCGCTCCAAGCTAGAAATTTCCATTAGATTCCAACGCCGCTGGAAGTAGAACATTTTAATGTGGAACATTCTAAGCAGAATTATACAATGCAATTATACATGTATATCAGTGCTGTATACAATCGTCGCGATTTTCAGCAAGTCATGCGGCCTAATGCACGGTATTTTTGAATCAGTTGCATTAATAAGCCACATAAGCCACATTAGCGATTCTTGGCACAGGTCTCTAACGAGATTCTCTAAATTTTCTTCGCCCATGTTTCGTAGAAAAACGTTCAGGAAGACTTTCGAGTAAGTTTTCACGGAAGGTAATAGAAAATAGCAGCGCTGCCTCTTTATTCGATACATTTGTTCACATGTGAATAGGGTGATTAGGTATCAGGGACAATTAGAAACCTTAGAAAAGTACGACTGTTTGCTTCGAATCAACGGAATTCATTGAAGCAAATGCGAGACTACTGACCACTTGTGCGACGGAAAATGACAAATGCTTTGTTGGCACTTCGCGTCGTGTTGCCTGTCATCTTCAATAATTATGCGTGGTGCGAAATATCAGTCGAGTTATAAGTTTCGTTTTATTGCACATCGTCGTCGAAATTGTTTGTCGAACTTCCACGCATAATTATTAGACTTCAACAACGTCTATATCGAGTCCTCGACGCGTGTAACCGTGTTTCTGTGCGTGTACTTGTTTCCATATGTTCGTGTAGAATACGTGATCCATGTTGTACGTGTTGTTTGTGCAATGTGCAGAGTACATAGAGTAAATTGTAAAGTGTATAATGCAAAGTGAGTGATTGTAACGTGTAGAATGTGTTTAGCCATCGATTACGCTACTCGATCGACACAGTTACAGAATCTCGCATTTACTTGTACAAAGAATGAGAAAATAAATTTACAACGACGAGTTACGATGTTAGCTCTACTCTCCCACGCGTGGACATGCTTTTAATGTCATTCGAAGTTCGCGCACGCGACGCTTTTCCATTCCAAGAGTGTGAAAACCGTCTCATAATGTGTGGAGATGGGTAGCAAGTAGTAATGTGTGCCTAAGGCGATCGTCGTCAACAAGTTGTCGGGTCGAGGCAAATGTTTACATGTGTCTCGTGTTGCCGAATCCACCGTGGCCAGATTGGCTGGCGCCTTTGTTGAAACCCATTTGCAAATTGAGGTGGCCCTCGCTCGCTCGGAGCTGGTCCTCCGAGAAGATTCGTTTGTTCTCGTCGGCCATCTTGGGTCCTAGACCGGGTCCGTTGTACTCAGGATGTTTCTGCGTCTGTTCAAACAACCGGTTTAATATAAGCAAAGGTATGTCCTTGCTATAGTAAGAACTTAACTCTACGCCAATGCCAGTCCTGGCCAATTCGAACCAGAAGCAAACCTGATCATGGGATACTTACAATCCTACCGAGAGCATAAAGGCACAGGGTCACTTGTGGGATGTTGCGTCTCTCGAAGAGATCAGCCGTCTGGAAGATCTCCTCTTGTGGGACGCCGTAGTTCTTGATGGCGGCTTGGAATCTAGAAAAACAAAAGACCAAATTACCATCTAGTAAATTCTCGTTCAACTGAATATTCAATCGTCTCCCACCTTTGAACATTTTCCATCAACTGAAAGTTGGTTCCCTTTTCCTGAATCTTTTTCACCGATCCGGGAGCCAGTTTGTTGATGAGTTTGCACAGGACGACTCCATCCTTGAGGATGTCCTCGTAGTTTCCCGGTGGAAGTTTTTCGCCCAGGACAGCCTCGATCCAAGTGAGCACCTCGGACTCCTGATCCTTGTTGCGGGCCTGGAAACACACGAAACATTTAGGTCGTCCCAATAAAATCAAGTAGAATATCTCTGCTCGTACGAAGCAGCCCCTTGGATTCGGTTACAGCGGAATTGAGAAGCATGGGGGATGGTCCAGCCGGAGCGTCAGCGATTTAAAAATGTCGACGGAACGGAAATAGATCGCGACGGTGTTACGTTACCGTTCGTAAACCGCACGTCGAAAATAAAATATTCGTCGACGGCCGATCCGCTCGGCTTTTATTAAAATCTGGCAGAGACGGCTAGGTTCACTCGGGCCACCTGTTTCTGTGCCGTGTGAACCCCGTTTGTTTTCTCGATTTTTGGTAGAACACCGCGTTGAATTCCACCGTTTGGCAGCCTGACAATGCCTCCGCGTCGCCGTTTCTCATTAAAATCGCCAACGTCACGGCTAATAGTTCCAAATCTCATCGAGCGACCCGACGAGATCATACATCTCGGTTCAGAAGACTTCCTAACTCCGCAATCCTCTTTGAAGCTGCTAGTTGGAAGCCACTGATCGGTGTCCCTGTTCGGCGCGTTAATGTAAGCAATTTGTTCAACTCATTTCCCGTTGATTTACGAGCACCCCAGCCCCGACGATGTCGACGCAAATTAAATCTGGCAATCCCTGCATCGCGATAGATCTGTATTTATAGCTGCAATCAGCCTCGATACCTCGCGAAATAGATCCTGTGTGGTCTTGACCGTGCTCCGCGCGAAATCCTGTTCGAAGGCAAACCCGTGTTACCTATTATCCGCAGAGAAACGGAACGGATCTTCTCGCCACAGCGAAGAATAGTTGTCTGATCTATGCTGAGAGACGTTCTGTGCGGATACCAGGTACGAAATTACCACCGATTGACTTTGAAATTATCTAGCTCGGCGCACCTTTCGGTGGACCGGAAAGGACGTAGAGAGATCTCCAGAGCCCGTCTGCGAAGTGTCAAATCTTCAGAAGCAACGTGTTCCTCGTCGAACTCTCCCGAGGTGTATTTTAAGCACGGTTCTCAAGAGGAGTAACGTTTTCGTTCCCTCGACTTTTCCCAACGATCGGCGATCTTAAAATTAAGATGATCAAGTCGAGAGCGAAGAAGAGGCGTGCATGATATATTTTAAACCGACCGGACATCCTTCCTCGGGCTTTCATCGGGATTCCAACGTTTCGAGGATAAGACCGGCACGAGGAGATGAATAGCATCCATGCCGCAGACAATGATCAACACGTTTACAACATATTTTCTGTTTCTCCTGACTTACGTCGCCGTTATGTTCGCCGTTATGTTCGCCGCCCTGGTGTACATGTTCTATTACTTCCCCGTGTCTCTGTTCTAGCGTAATTAGCGTTATCAGATCGATGATGTGGAAATAGTCTCGGAGGATATCGAAACGTTTCGCGAAAACGCGGAAATGAAATTCTCTCGCTGGTTAAAGCGCGGCTTTTAAATTGGGATATCCATTCCCGAGCATCGTCGAACATAGATATTACGTAAGGGTATTTATCTTGAGGTAAAAATATCTCGGACGGTCAATACGCGTCAAACTCCATCGCGGCAACAAACCGGCGTCACAGGATTTCCGTCGTGTTAACAATCTAACGGCTCGTGTCCGCGCAACTATAAACGGATCGCAACAAATCAGTCAGGAAACGTCTTCTTTGACGTTTGTGGCTCGTTAGACGAACAGTTTAGAACGCCCACAACGTCTTAGATCTGGCTCGCGGGCGCTAACGTTAAGCTCTACAACGGTACCCTGAGACTACGATGGTCTCTCACCGTGCAAAAATAAAGTTTTTCGATATTTTTACAGAATGAAATTAATTCATTTATGAAATTAAGATTTACAAATGCGTCTTTAATGAGAGGAACGAATGTCGAAGCGATAAATGGAAGCTGAAAACGTTTGGTTGCGTGCCGCATCGGTGCATCCCCTCGTTTTTTATATGTCGGCATATTTCAATACTTCTCTCGTGTAAAGATTAATCCAATATTTTGGGACTACCGCCAGAACGAAATAGCCCAAGGTCTACCGTAATTAGGATTCTACGAATAACCGCGGTTTCTCGGCATTAGCATCGCGAACGAGCATTATTAATCCACCAGCTGTTAGCGGTTCCCTTCTCGCATGTCGCGATGCTCGTTAACGGGCCCGTGATTATCGGCAATTTATCGCGACATTGGTCCACTGTTGCTCGCGGAACGGACACCGCCGTGTCTTCGGGGTTGACCGTTTCGCTCGACACATACCGGCATTGTTTATCCTGTCTGGTCCTCCGACGATCCAATCTCTAACCACTGCACCGGCAGGAGTCTTAACTCTCTTTCTCTTCCGAAGGGACAGCGACTTTTGAACGATGACGCCGACCAAAGACTAAGTCGGACGCCGTGCGTCGCGACGCTATATGCCGGTCTCCCCTCCGCCGAATCCTTTTCACCGACATTCAGGAACGAGTGATTTTTGGCCGGTTGCCCACTGGGTATTCCCACACCCCCGCCCACCTTCCCACAGCCAGATCTTGACACTGCAGCCCTATTTACAAGACAAGACACGAGGCGACCCGTTACATCTGTCATAACCGATCTGCTCCACTTCGTCTTCTCTTCATTGAACTCTCTTCGATTAATTAGACTGAGAATCGTGAACGGATCCTGGAACGAAGAATACATTTTGCTTACAATACTGGCTAATGATAAACAGCTGATGACCTGATCTAAGACCTGGCCTGATCTAAGACTCGGTCTGAGTTCGTAGACCTTCTTCGCCATAACTGGGTAGCAATTTGGGTCGAATCATAGCTCTTTATTCTCGGCTTCTTCTTAGCCTTTCCTTGATGAATCTTCGCTTTGAACTATGGTGATACTCTAGAGTCTAGGATCCGGAAAGAGCCAGGCATGGTGCGAACACGATCCACCGTTATTCGAAATATAATTGCCTTGGGAAGACAGAAAAATTCCTTGGTAAGGCAATGTACGATTGTATGACAGGGTATTGACATATCCTGCAAGAAACAAGACATGCTTGAGTTTTCATTAAGCAGAGCTAGCATATTACTTTTTCTGAGTAGGTAGCAGAAGTGTGACTATTACAGTGACAGTATCGTGAGAGAAAATCATGTATCAAGTTCGGGAATAGTTAGAACGATCTGGACAGACTATTTAGGGGGGTTGTATCACCTGTTTCGTTATTACGATTGCTGACGTTCCCGCGAGCGGAAAACTTCGAACAAGTGGGTGTGTTTTGCACAAATCGACGGTAGTTAACCGGTCCGTGGACCACGGCCAGATGAAAACACCGATAAGCGAGGCGTCGTAGTTTCTGGATTTTGGCCACTTCGAAGGGTGAGGCCACCGCCGAGTTTAGATTCCGTCAATCGACACTGTTTCCAAGTTTATCGTAACCCGACGAAATCGTCTGGAACGATTCTTCATAGTCCAAGTTTCGCCCGTAGTTGTGTAACGAAAATGTGATCGATGGCATCATCGATATGATCGTGTTAGCTTTTCTTGCAGGTTGGGCCGATTCAATTAGAAATTTGAGACATTCTAGACTCGGATTGTTGCATCAGTTGCGGGCGCATCGCGGATCTCCTGATGGAGCTGCAATGCCGGAAGCAATGACGATAATACTCGTTCAGTTCTCCGTTAAAATAGTCGTATCATTCCTCCATATTATATATTAATGTTTAACGCGTTTTAATTAAATGATCATCGATAAGAAGTTGAAGCATGTTGCTTCTGATAAATCATTTTACGGTTCGCTCAAGGATTCCAAGACCTCCATTTCTAGAACCATTTCGCCAGACCTGTAACAGACGGTATAATCAGCTTTTTGATACAATTGTTTAAATGTTTGCCCATCAGATTTGAGCAACAGATAAGAAAAGCAAGGTTTGCCCGAACAATACGGAAGGAATTGAGTGAAGTGCAATGAGATTCCATTGCAAGGTTTCGTTACGTACTGCATATACTTAACTGCCACCTCTTAGCATCCTGTTTCCCTATCACAGTGCATTTCCAGCAAATACTCAACCAATCTTTACTTGCGTTCAATTGCAAATACACCGATTGCAGTTGCCTTGCACAGCAACTGAAAGTAAAGTTGTTTAAAACAAATTGGATAGATTGCTGTTGGAAATACTGACCGAAGAATGTTGTTTATTAAATTGTGTATATTTATATTGTTAAGTAACTTCATGAGTACTAGAAAGTTTGATTGAACTGCAGTTATTATAAAGCTTGAAATTGTACAGACCAGTAAACCAGAGACAGTAGTACGATCTTGTTAGGGCGGTTAGTTGACGGACCTGCCACTAGATGGCATCGAGGTTGACGGATTTCTCGCAGCTAAAAGATGCTGGCGCTGTTATTAGTAGGACGGGGAAAAACGTGCTCATCAGCTTTGCGCAGTGGCGATATCGTAACCAATGAGGTTCTACCGAGGTGCGATTATTGCTAGTTGAAAACTTTTACCAATACCCCGCCATGACGATGTGAAATACCATCGGCTACGGCAATTTTTGGAAGTTTCTACGGAAACTGATGATACAAATCGAAACAAAATATCTTGATACCTTATCGAATATAGAGTAAAATCCTAACCTTGAAAATGTTTGTAGATTCAAAGGATTTATAATTAGTTTAAACGTTTTCATACTTGAAATAATAAAATACACTTTACCAACATCTTCTCTTCAATTTCTAGAGAATATATATATAAAACTGAAAGACGTCGTTAATCAAACCGCCGGGTGCGCTTGCTCTCCTCCATAACATCTAAAATAAACGACAATGAATATTCGACACGTGCGACAAGGGTGAAGGAGGGGGGCCCATCCGGTCCTGAAAACGAAATTTATTTTTAGCAATCATATCTGAATAGACCTCATCCATCTTATAAAGATACTATATAGATTAGCACCCATTAATCACCGGAAGCGACGTACCATAACACTCATACTGAAGTATCAACATTCAAAAAGTTTTAAAATAGCGACCCTTTCATCTTCTGCTTTCAGGTTGCTGGGAAACGAGAGGCTAGCCAGGAGGCTGAAGCCCAACAATGGATCGAGACGGTGGTCGGAGAGAGATTTCCATCAGGTGAAGTCCTTGAAAAATATTTTGGCTTAGTTTTAGTTAGTTTTAGTCAGTTACCATAATGGAGTCAACCTTGATCTTGATTGTGGCCCTTTTCGTAAATAATCTTCAAAACACATCGTCAGGAAGATAGAGCCAAAGTCCTTATTCTCAAACCTTAATACTTACAATAGTCATTGTAAGAGTCCATAGAATTTCTTGATGCATTCCTTCGCAAAGCCTAACAACAAAAACTTTCTTTTGTACTCTTATTGTATCTATGATTGATTACTATACATAAAGCGAGTCTATCGGGCGCCGACCTCCAGAGATACGCAATCTCACTGTGTCGAGCCGTGAAAATGCATATTGCAGCNTGCAAGGTTTCGTTACGTACTGCATATACTTAACTGCCACCTCTTAGCATCCTGTTTCCCTATCACAGTGCATTTCCAGCAAATACTCAACCAATCTTTACTTGCGTTCAATTGCAAATACACCGATTGCAGTTGCCTTGCACAGCAACTGAAAGTAAAGTTGTTTAAAACAAATTGGATAGATTGCTGTTGGAAATACTGACCGAAGAATGTTGTTTATTAAATTGTGTATATTTATATTGTTAAGTAACTTCATGAGTACTAGAAAGTTTGATTGAACTGCAGTTATTATAAAGCTTGAAATTGTACAGACCAGTAAACCAGAGACAGTAGTACGATCTTGTTAGGGCGGTTAGTTGACGGACCTGCCACTAGATGGCATCGAGGTTGACGGATTTCTCGCAGCTAAAAGATGCTGGCGCTGTTATTAGTAGGACGGGGAAAAACGTGCTCATCAGCTTTGCGCAGTGGCGATATCGTAACCAATGAGGTTCTACCGAGGTGCGATTATTGCTAGTTGAAAACTTTTACCAATACCCCGCCATGACGATGTGAAATACCATCGGCTACGGCAATTTTTGGAAGTTTCTACGGAAACTGATGATACAAATCGAAACAAAATATCTTGATACCTTATCGAATATAGAGTAAAATCCTAACCTTGAAAATGTTTGTAGATTCAAAGGATTTATAATTAGTTTAAACGTTTTCATACTTGAAATAATAAAATACACTTTACCAACATCTTCTCTTCAATTTCTAGAGAATATATATATAAAACTGAAAGACGTCGTTAATCAAACCGCCGGGTGCGCTTGCTCTCCTCCATAACATCTAAAATAAACGACAATGAATATTCGACACGTGCGACAAGGGTGAAGGAGGGGGGCCCATCCGGTCCTGAAAACGAAATTTATTTTTAGCAATCATATCTGAATAGACCTCATCCATCTTATAAAGATACTATATAGATTAGCACCCATTAATCACCGGAAGCGACGTACCATAACACTCATACTGAAGTATCAACATTCAAAAAGTTTTAAAATAGCGACCCTTTCATCTTCTGCTTTCAGGTTGCTGGGAAACGAGAGGCTAGCCAGGAGGCTGAAGCCCAACAATGGATCGAGACGGTGGTCGGAGAGAGATTTCCATCAGGTGAAGTCCTTGAAAAATATTTTGGCTTAGTTTTAGTTAGTTTTAGTCAGTTACCATAATGGAGTCAACCTTGATCTTGATTGTGGCCCTTTTCGTAAATAATCTTCAAAACACATCGTCAGGAAGATAGAGCCAAAGTCCTTATTCTCAAACCTTAATACTTACAATAGTCATTGTAAGAGTCCATAGAATTTCTTGATGCATTCCTTCGCAAAGCCTAACAACAAAAACTTTCTTTTGTACTCTTATTGTATCTATGATTGATTACTATACATAAAGCGAGTCTATCGGGCGCCGACCTCCAGAGATACGCAATCTCACTGTGTCGAGCCGTGAAAATGCATATTGCAGCGGGAGGATCGAGGGAAGCGCTGTTGATTGAACTTTGCCGATGACACCTACTCCCTCGATGTTTGTGTACGCTCTCGGATGCATGGGCTCCTGTTCTGCGGAGGTGGTGCGGTTCGAAAAGCGTGTCAATATCACCACCCCCGTGCAGGACCCGCGCAACATTTCAGATGCCCTCTGGAACCCTATAATTCCCGGGTACGAATGTCAGGCCGCGTGACGTCGCAAAGGTTAAGCTTGTTGACTAGGTCAGTTTTTCCAGCATTCCCACGCGTCAAAATGGCGGAGGTTTCCTATAAGACATTGAACTCTGTATCATATCTCGACCTGAAAATTGGGGCTTTCGCTAGCGGTTCAAAATACTGATTAAAACATTTGAATCTAGATGCCATTAATCCTCATACGTTCATAAAAATTAGTTTCTTCATCCCTCGTTTAACTACTTAATTCAACCAATTGTATTTCATTTGCCATCTCAAATTTTTAAGAAATTAGTGCATAGAGAAATTGTACGGTATTCAAAGTAGAGAATAAGAGAGTAGAGAATAATAAATTTTCTCCGGGGGTAAGCATAAAAGTTGAACGCCTAACTTACAAAGAGTGGGGGTTGGCTCCTGCCGATTGCCAGAATTCCTAATTCCTGGGGGTAGTTGCATCTTTCGTCGACTGTTGTTTTCCTGATAAAACGCGCGCTTTGTTACGTCATTCGAGTCACCCTATTGAACGGGGTTGCAGGCAACAACCCCTATGTCTAACGTGCACCCCTGATTCAAGAAATACGCCCGGCGTCGACGCAATCGTCGTGTTGAGCGCTCTGGGTTCGCTGAAACATGGACAAGATGCGACTGTAGTCTTTTCTCGAATTTCTTCAAGTCACTCTCGCATCCCCATTGGTCGTTGCCTGAAGGATGGAAGAGGAACTTGTGGCAGTTGAACACTACACTCTGTGAAAGCGGGAAAAATGTTACCAAGGGAGAATCCTCGCAGAGAAAACATACAACGCTGGGAATAACGCCTTCGTGGCATGCTAACTCCCTAATAAAGTGGAGGGTGTAACGAAGGTGGCCAAAGGCTAAAGGATGCCATCTTCCTCTGTTGCTAATTGATCTATATACAGTTTCCACCCTCCACGTGAATCGAAGGAGGAGGGCTCGGCTCGGGTTAAGTAGAACTTCCTTGGCAAAGTGTGAGCCTGGTATTAACCGATTCAAGGCGCACCTGTCATGAGATTATCGTTCCACCTAATAGAATAGCAATTGACGTAACATTGCAATATCTTGTAAATCGATTACTTGTTAATAATCAGAATTCATTGGTGTCTTATACTTGCCATTGACGACTTCTTTCAATAAAAGAAAGAACAACTTTTTTCATATAAAAAGACTGATCCACATCTTCGACAATATTTCTATTTTGTTTTGTTTAGTGACTGTCTAAAATCCATAGTTTTGAAGTTGATTTTATAAGTTGGTGAATGTGATATCTGTAAGATCAAGATAATTTAAATTCAAGTCTTAGAGTCTAATTTTCAAGTCTAATCAGACTTTTCGTTATCAGCATGTTTCTTTCGGTAGATGAATGGTTTACCTTATCGATTGATAATGTTATCTACAACAGATGGGGCTCGAGTACCGCGGGTCAGCTCCACCTCCACCGAGGATAGATAACTCCTCGCGGTGATGCGAGCCGGGTATTCGAAGCTTTTGATGTTATTGACTCGTTTAAAATTGAACTTGGAATGGCGGCGTTCGATCGTCTCCGCAGTCACTTTCTCTTCCACCCCCGCAGCTGTGGCTCGCTCCGCTAAACGCAATCGGAATTCTACGTATTCCAGGATTCCCAAGTTATTCTGTTGTAGATGTTAGCCTGTTCCTGGAAGCTCGCGAGGCATGCCGAACACGATCCTCTCGAAAGAATGCATCGTACATATTTTTTCCGATAGATGGTCAGGCTCTTGCATTGTAATAATTATTTTGAAAAAAATATTTGAGTGTTAACATACGTCGGAAATCATTTAAATGTATCAACAAGAAAGCACTATTTGCATAAAAATTAAATCTGAAATTATTGATCATAGTTATACTAATTCTTGTCTCAGAGATTTATTTATCTCCTGTTTCTTCTCTTTTCTCCTATCAAATTCAACTACGCTTTCGGCACCAGATTCTCTTTCACTTTCTGTATCTTCAATGGTGGATATCTCTATAACGGTTATCTTCCCTTGTTGCGTAGTAAATTTCTTTCTTCTTCGACTCCATCGTTTTTGCGTATGCGTGACACTGCTGTGCGTTCATTCCTATTGGTTCGTGTTGATTCATTCTTGGTTACGATTGGTTTCTGAGATTCAAAATCCACGCGCTCCATTGGTTTGTTCAATAGCGACAGTCTACTTAGTTTCGCCCGACTGGTGCCAGGTGGCTCTCCTATGGTGATTTTCTCCTTGTCTTGCATCTTCCTAGGTTGCGACACCCACGGAGGGGATTGGGGTGGAACCCTAACGTTCGTTTCTTTCTTATCTAATCGGTGTTGATCTCTTTTTCCTCGTCCCACACTTTATCTCTTATCTTCTCTCTCTTTTCATGTTGCTTACTTCACGTCTATATCTCCCGTTCTTCAGGAACGTACGCTCCTCTTTTTCGCTCACGCGTCTGGGTCGGTTAAAAGACCGGATGTCGGGGGTGAATCCTGGGGAGTGAAGTGTCAGTCATCCGTTCGTCACGGTGGCACAAGTAGCTTGCTAGCACCAGGGTACCAGCAGACGTTTGAGGGATTTATAGCTTTCCCGCCACGTCGTCGTCGACGTCGATGTGTCTCGCGGTGGTCCAGCAGGCTGATCAGCTTTTTCGAGCTTCCTCCTGTCCATCCTGACGCAGGGGGTGGAACATCGACAGCCGTCGATATGTCGAGAACAGTTCGTCACGAGGCGTCGCGTGACGTCACGAAAGCTCGCAGTTACTAGGGTAGCAACGACGGGTAGTAGATGAATTTATGGCCTGCTCACCGATGAGAGCCTATTGCCTACGTGTGTTGGTAAGACCCACCCCGGCCTTACCGAGCACGTAAGAATACTTTCCGCCAGGAAATGGCTCGTCTCGATGACACGGGCCGAGCAGAAGACCCCGCGGATACGTCAGCAGATGTCAGTTGTCTGTCAAAGGGTCGTCAATGACGTCATTCTGAGACAAGCCTACCAGGATTACAGCCCCGGGGTAGATTTACGAGCGAGCGCAACAGGTGGTCGCCTCCAGCTATATCACGCTTGAGGGTGCGCTCGAGGAGCGTATTTTGCTGCTATTGATCGAAGGATAGTTTGTCCCGATATTAGTAATTTGTGCTAACATTGGTAGTTTCACTTGATCTTGGTAATTTGTCCTGACATAACTAGGTCTTTGTTGGATGTTGATTGTATAATGACAGACTGGTATCTGGACAATTCTTCGTTGATGACACTGATTTCTCGTATGCTGCAGCTGAAAATTAGACGATTTTTACTAAAAGCTGCTCTTGTTTTTCAAGAGGATGATATACATATACTCAAGTAGGAACAGCTTAAAATGGACAAATACTGCTGTACGAGCAAGAGTCTTTCTTTTAAAATGATTGGAGACGTAAAACATTAGTGAAACTGAGACGTGAGACGTTAGTGGAAAGAGAAATTATACTTTCATAATTTAGTCTCTATATGAGCTTGTATAAAAATCCTTATGCAAACGCTAACCACCGATAGAATGGAGAGAAAACGGATACTGCGCAAACATACCGCTGTTCCCGCGGGACCTGTTGCTCGCCTCTGATCGTAAATTCAGCCCGGGGATGTTGTCCTGGTGAAAACCGTGCGTTTGACGTCTTTATGACATGAAACTGACGTTAAATCGATACCGGCTCGAGCAAGCGCACACATCCGAGACAGAATCCTTGTTTGGAGTCCCTACAAATACTAACATTGATGCATTTCATCATAATATGTATCAGACATCATTCTCTTTCTAACAAATGCCAAAGCATCGAGGACAGACGCTTTGTTGGACAACTGTCGCCGGGTCTTTTCAGACCCAGATCTTCAACTTTCAAGACCTATCTGGACACCAATTACGCGTGTTCCACCCTCTGTATCTGTAACGCCTAATGAATCTGATGTCACGTATCCATTATCCATTAAGTCTTATTTAATTATTGCGTGAAAGATGACTTCTTCAAAAATGTTAATTGTTCTATGAATTTTATATGTTAGAAATTTTGGGTGGATAGAAATGAGGCTTTCTCTACGGCGGATCTGGGGTAAGCGTCTTGCGGTGCAACACAATCCTTTTACCAGAAAGCATTCCCCACTCCGTGACCAGATCCGTCATGAAAACTATCTCTTTTGTTTAAGATAACGGTACGACGTCGAATGTGCCCCATCGAATACCTGCACAACTTCGAGTTGTCAGACATGATCTAGGGTTTGTCCGTCGTCAGGAACCACAGCTTTGAGAGGCTACGTGAACCCCTCGACCCTACCACAAATGAACCGAAAGCGGAGTAGCGTCAGGTTATCTGCCTTCGATTTCTCTTAAAAACAAGCTGTATCTCAAGTTTGTATACGTGTAACAAGCTTGTACATCAGCTGATCATTACACAATTACGTTTCAAGTATTAGGGGGTTTCAAGTTACAGAGGGTTGACTTATACAATCAATTGGCGCGGTGGAGACCTACTAAATATTTATACGTAAATGCAAGCGTAGCGTACCCGTAGGGGGTTTATCGATTTCACGTCAAATCGCCGAGACATGACGACCGTGACGTGTCACCGTAACAGGATCGTATCAGCGGCAGAAATATCGCCGATCCGCCGATAGGTATTGTTGCAGTCCGATATTTTTTCGCCGCGCGTATCGACGCGAACGAAGATACCGGTAAGACACGAGGCGTCTGAAAAATATCAGGCCAGCATCATACGGTTGTGCTCGCCACCAGGACGAAAGAAACCGGCGAAGAATCTCGCAGGATGTCGTGGACAAGGTCTGGAAGGCGGTCCTATCGATTTTCTGTCATCCTCTCGCGTTTACGACATCTCATTGCGATTCGACGCTACCAGGAACGTATCAGCATGTCACTCTCTGCTCTCTACTTGTTTACACCGGTTTGCCGCGTTCCATCGGGATATTGATGTTGCCGTTCCTCTCGGCTGATGCCTGGATAGCGTGAAAAAGCGGAAGGTCTGCTCGGCTCGTTTGACTCGCGCGCCTCGACGAGGCTCCCAAAGTGACCGCCTGAAATGCGCGTTTCAAACTACAAGAAATTTTCATTCGACTTTCTGTCCTTATTATATAATATATATTTAATATATAATATAATATATATTATATAATATATTTAATATATAATATATTATAATTATACAATATATTATATTATTATTATTATGCGTATCACCTGTTTCGATACTTTTAGGAGTACATACCAATTGATCATTCGTTTAACTTTGTGACGGGATCCCTGAAAAGTAAAATATAATAAAGTATTGCTATTTTCTTATCGATTGGAGGATTTTCCCAAAAATACATCTTATACCATGCTAACTTTGAACATTCGCGTGTAATCGCCCCGCTATTTTTCTCTCCGCATTCGTAGTGAGGATTGACCACCGTTTACGAAAGCCTGTAAGGTGCAGTGGTAGCTGATTCGCAGCTAATTGAACGGAACTGGTCGACGTATCCGAAACTGATCGACTGTCGAAGGCTCGTCAATCGAGAATTCAAGCACAAGACCAGTTTTGTACTAGGCGAACAGATTTTCGGGTAGGCATTCGGCGGCGCGTCGTTCGTCGATCAGACCAGTAAAACAATATTATAAGTGCTTGAAGTTGGACCATCGCAAGACAGCATGTAAAGCAGGCGTAAATCTTTGTATAATTTGCGGTGAAACGTATCACGAGAGATGTGAACTGCTTCCCAGATGCGCCAACTAAGGTAAACGACATAGTGCAACCTCCAGAGATTGCATACGACTAGATTATCAAATTACAAATTACAAATCATTCGCTGAAACAAAAAATATAGCAATGTAAGAACATAGTAGAAAAGTAGATCAAAGTAGAAAAATGGGAAAACAAACCACTGCCTAAAGAGAAAGAGAATAACCCATGGAGTGACATGAAAAGGAAACAAAATAGACAAGAAAGAAGAAGAAGAAGAGGAAACCAACAGTGAAGATGGTACGAAGAGTTTGTACAAAGAAAAAGTATTGGACTATAAAAACAGTGTAACAAGGAAAATATTATAATCCTTAGCACCATAAAATAAAGTAACTTGCACTTGCGCCGTCCATCGCGAAACCACGTGACATGTCGTCCTTGCAGGATCAGGGTAGTAGTCTTTTGAACAGCTCGCGGAAGTCGGCTACAGCCAAAAACATTCCGAAAGCATTACGAAATAGAACACGGCGGATTTTCATTGAGTATATAAAACTGGAAAAATATTTATCTATTAGCGGCGACGCATTTTTAGGAAGAGAGAGTTCGGAAAGAAGAACCGAATTAGGGTATTTGATAGTTTTATAATAGGGGCTATTGGGGGATGAATAAGTGAGACTAAACAGACCTGACGACAGACGACGACGGTTGGAGACCACGTTGAGTTTTCCGGCTATCGGCCGTCTCAGATCGTCTACTGAGACAATGTATTGGGTTGTTCGGAAAGTTCGTGCCGATTTTTTAGGAAAATTAAAACGCAGCTCATTTAAATATTGGAGCCAAACTTCACGGTATGATCGCGGATGGTTGATTTTGATTTATTTAGCATTCCTGCTAATTGACGTAATGTTGAGCGTGGGTTATTCTCGATTTCTGTTCTAATCATATCTTCGTCTGTGGTGGACGGTCTACCTGGGCGTTCTTGATCTTCAAGGTCAAAATTTCCAGCTTTAAACCGAGCAAACCACTTCCGCACAGTTCTTTCGGCTACAGCATCCTCGCCATAAACAGCGCATATTTTATTTGCCGCTTGTGTGGCATTTTTGCCCTTTCGGAAAAAGAAAAGCATTAAATACCTATAATGCACTTTATTTGCCGCCATATTCTAAGGCGTACAAAACTGATAAAAATTAACGAATCGTAACCAAGCTTTTTTCCAAATATGGTTGAAGTTATCTCGTTTAGAATATGTACACATGTCATTTGTTTTCAATCATTGTGATATATTCAGTTAGGTCTCTCACGCTACCTACCGAAAATCGGCACGAACTTTCC